TGGATGACGCTTTGCACGCTTCGCACGCACAATCCTTCACCATTGCGCGATATCTTCGGTAGTGCTCGGCCCTTATCTCGTCTTCCATCGCGTCGCAGCCGGCCGTTATAGTGACCTTTCGACCGTCCGACTTGGTTTGCCGAACAAATTCTCGCACCAGGTTGCCAATGCAGTGTTGAATGCAATTGCTCACGCCGTTCGGGATTGCCGTTAGCGTGAGAATTTTTTGCACCGGCGTTCTGCTTTTCTCGGAATTCATCTCCTCCCACGTGGATTGCAACGCCGCCACCAAGCCAGCGTCGAGAATCTTCCAGTCGTTCATGGCCCCCCAAAATAGTTCTAATTCTACATGATTTGGGGGCTCGTCTTTCTCGCCGGCCGCCGCGAGCTTTTGCATCATTTGCACTCGCTTTGCTCCCGTGTTGGCTTTCGCAGCCTGGGCGCAGAGAGGTTTTCTTTTCTCCGGCTGCTCGAGACGCGCTTTTTTAGGTGGCCGGGGTGCCGTTTGCGGTGGTGTCATCGGTGCTGGTGGAATTGCTGGTGCTGTCATGGTGGTGCTCTCCGCCGACTTCGGGAGCAATGCTCGTTTCGTTCCCTCTGCTACACCTGTGGTGCTTGAGCCGGCTGATTTTCGCTTACGGCCGAGGAACGCGTCGCTGGTGCGCGTTCTCTCCTGCCGTTTCGTCACGTTTCTCGCCCTAAACACGCCCGGAGAACCCTTGCCAAGGCCTTTCTTGCTCTTTGGAGGATCGTCGTCAGGTCGATGAGACGTTTCACCGGATCCCTCCGTCGACGAAACTGTTGGAATTTTCGGGGCGTTTCTCGCCAACTCTTTGTCCATCTGCCTCTGACCGAACAGGCCTGAAAGACACAAAGTAGAACGGAAAATTTAGCAATCGACCGAGCGCTATATTTCTTCAACGCTCGTTTTCTCGCTCGCACCTTTTCCCCTCGCGAAAAGTGACACGTAAAATGTCTGGCACGCGTCGACAACCGCTTGCAGCGTCTCTCCGTCTTCCTCCGGGTCCAAGTTGTTGATCTGCCTCTTTATCGATTTGAAAATATTCTCCACGTAACCCTTGCACTTGTTCATCCTTTTTGCGCTTCGCCTGTAAAGTATATTCGAACGCTCGTCGCTCGCTGCATTTATACTCGCGTAATGACGTAATGGCTCGGTCTATTTTTACCGGGGAATTTACCGTAATTACGTCATTTAACAGAGAAGATACGAAAATAGAAATGATGTTTTATTTGTGCCAAAATTATTTATGCACGCTCTCAACTTGTGCTAAAATAAATCAACTGTATCTCTAGAGACACGGGATTGCGATAATGTGATGTATAAATCGAGAACAACACGGCCGGTTTTTCATTCATTTTATTAGTCTAAATAATAAATAATATATATAACCAGGGGGGGTTCAGCAGATTCATGCGGAGGTTTTCGGGCTACGCAACAGTGCGACGATGTATTGCTTAGATTCCTGACAACATTTATATCAACATTTATGCAATTGATGTCGCTTGATCTCGATTCCTTTATAGATCTACTACGGCCGTTGTTGGACTGATGAGCTCAACGAGCGACAAAAACGAAAATGTCGAAATTTCAACGAACACAGTCGTCGAAGCAAAGACGTCGTCAATGAATATTGCATTGTGAATTGCTCCTTGTAACTGGAGTTATCCCATTTCCGAAAGTCATCTCCTGATTGGTCTTTCTACTTCCACAGCTGAGCTGCGGAAGTAGGAAGACCAATGGAATTGCTTCGCTACTGATCTATCACATTCTGAACACGCTGTTGATAATCGCTTCATTGTTGCTTCAACGCGATGCAACGAAAGAATTACTTAATCCACACCCTGTATCGCATCGTAAGCATGCTTGGTATTGGATAGTAAATTAGTAAATCCACGGATTCCATTTTACCTAGCGTCGAAAATATCTGAATGTATTTTTCCCATTGTTTATTTTGTACAATACATAATTTACATATGCACAACATTTAAATATGTTTCGGCGATCGGGGGGGGGGGAATTGAATTCCGGAATTGAAACAAACAACAAGCATGCATGGGTATTAAATGCTTTGGAAAATCCTCTCTAAATTTTACGAATTGATCATAAATGGCACGTTTTCTACCCTCGGAAATAATGAAATGATGATCGTGGGCAAATCTACACTACGGTACGTCAATTCATTCATGATTCGGACCTCTTTGTTATCACGAATTCTAGCTTTCAGATCTCAATGTTCACTGAGATATGATATCATCTCAGCCCAGCAATGTAACAGAAGAATTTAACCTTTGCACCCAAGGCCCCCAGCCAGAGGTCACTCATTCGAGCAGAGCTCTGCCATAATTAACAAGCCCATTGAATCATTGCATGTGCTTAGTTGTTGCATAGAATATCCATCCTGCATGCGCACACAGAATGTTCACTGAGATATGATATCATCTCAGCCCAGCAATGTAACAGAAGAATTTAACCTTTGCACCCAGAGCCCCAAGCCCCCCAGCCAGAGGTCACTCATTCGAGCAGAGCTCTGCCATAATTAACAAGCCCATTGAATCATTGCATGTGCTTAGTTGTTGCATAGAATATCCATCCTGCATGCGCACACAGAATGTTCACTGAGATATGATATCATCTCAGCCCAGCAATGTAACAGAAGAATTTAACCTTTGCACCCAGAGCCCCAAGCCCCCCAGCCAGAGGTCACTCATTCGAGCAGAGCTCTGCCATAATTAACAAAGCCCATTGAATCATTGCATGTGCTTAGTTGTTGCATAGAGTATCCATCCTGCATGCGCACACAGAATGTTCACTGAGATATGATATCATCTCAGCCCAGCAATGTAACAGAAGAATTTAACCTTTGCACCCAGAGCCCCAAGCCCCCCAGCCAGAGGTCACTCATTCGAGCAGAGCTCTGCCATAATTAACAAAGCCCATTGAATCATTGCATGTGCTTAGTTGTTGCATAGAGTATCCATCCTGCATGCGCACACAGAATGTTCACTGAGATATGATATCATCTCAGCCCAGCAATGTAACAGAAGAATTTAACCTTTGCACCCAGAGCCCCAAGCCCCCCAGCCAGAGGTCACTCATTCGAGCAGAGCTCTGCCATAATTAACAAAGCCCATTGAATCATTGCATGTGCTTAGTTGTTGCATAGAGTATCCATCCTGCATGCGCACACAGAATGTTCACTGAGATATGATATCATCTCAGCCCAGCAATGTAACAGAAGAATTTAACCTTTGCACCCAGAGCCCCAAGCCCCCCAGCCAGAGGTCACTCATTCGAGCAGAGCTCTGCCATAATTAACAAAGCCCATTGAATCATTGCATGTGCTTAGTTGTTGCATAGAGTATCCATCCTGCATGCGCACACAGAATGTTCACTGAGATATGATATCATCTCAGCCCAGCAATGTAACAGAAGAATTTAACCTTTGCACCCAGAGCCCCAAGCCCCCCAGCCAGAGGTCACTCATTCGAGCAGAGCTCTGCCATAATTAACAAGCCCATTGAATCATTGCATGTGCTTAGTTGTTGCATAGAATATCCATCCTGCATGCGCACACAGAATGTTCACTGAGATATGATATCATCTCAGCCCAGCAATGTAACAGAAGAATTTAACCTTTGCACCCAGAGCCCCAAGCCCCCCAGCCAGAGGTCACTCATTCGAGCAGAGCTCTGCCATAATTAACAAAGCCCATTGAATCATTGCATGTGCTTAGTTGTTGCATAGAGTATCCATCCTGCATGCGCACACAGAATGTTCACTGAGATATGATATCATCTCAGCCCAGCAATGTAACAGAAGAATTTAACCTTTGCACCCAGAGCCCCAAGCCCCCCAGCCAGAGGTCACTCATTCGAGCAGAGCTCTGCCATAATTAACAAGCCCATTGAATCATTGCATGTGCTTAGTTGTTGCATAGAATATCCATCCTGCATGCGCACACAGAATGTTCACTGAGATATGATATCATCTCAGCCCAGCAATGTAACAGAAGAATTTAACCTTTGCACCCAGAGCCCCAAGCCCCCCAGCCAGAGGTCACTCATTCGAGAAGACAGGCCCATTGCATTGCATGCTGGCACATGTAAATCTGGCTATTATATTTGCAATCATAAACCGATCTAGAGACCTACTAGAAACCTTATGCATGAGGCTTTTTAATCTATGTATATTAATTATGTATTTTTGAGGTAAATCTGACAGATAATCAATTTTGAGTATTTTTTGTAATTGAATGTTGTTAAGCTCATATGGTTTAATACGTTTAATATTTGTCAATCACTTCTCGCTTTTGAATGGGGAACTGCTGTCATTAACAAGTGCTTCTATTGTGTCTTTCCGCCAGGAAGAAAAAGTCACCTCTTTGTCTGAGGAACGCCAGTTCCTGTGCCTTATCTCTCACCATGTCCAATTAGCTAATTCATTAGTGCGGCATTGCGCTAATCTCAAAGTGCCGCGTTTCCTGAATTTAGGAGGCGATGTCCATTAGTAACTCCAAGAAGAAAGAAGGCGTGCCTATCTGTGTTGTATACGTAAATGGTTTGTCGATTATCTTTCATTTTCACTTGAAAGTCATGAAAGAAGCATCTTCAAGGATCATCATTATTATCATCATGAGCCAGGTATACTTATTGTATTTATACGGACTTTATACGGACTATATTTATACCGTTTTTATACCGTATATTTATACTGTATTCATACGGACTATATTTATATCGTTTTTATATACCTCCATCCCAGTGATAATCTATTCCGTGTCTTATCAGAATTTCCATTTGTTAGCGCGCTCTGAATTTGAGTAAATTATAGCGGAGGTTTTTTAATTTTGTGTCTTACAAGAGTGCTTTTTTTTTCAGGTGAACCATACGCCTGCCTGGAAATCAACGAAACACGTATTCATGCAAAACTGAGAATAATCAGGCTCGATATATTGTAAGTTTGTTTCTTGTTACATACCAATTTTATTTGAGTGTTATGATATTAAACGCATGTAGGGTTAGTAATTGTTAAGGAAAGGTTATTTATTTGGGAAAAGCCCTTAATTTGTCGGCACGCCATATGCATTTTTAGCACGCCTGTATGCCACTGAAGGGTTATTAGCTTTACGAAAAGGTTATGGATCTTGGCAAGATTTAGTTTTTAGGTTAGTTAAAATGCTAGGGTTATGATTTTTAACCCAGGTTAGTAATTTTGAAGGAAGGGTTATATATTTGGAAAAAGTCCTTTATTTCCAGCACACCATTTTAGCATGCACGCATACCTGTCTGCCAGACCTGTTTGCGCATGTAAGGTTATGAACCAATGTTACTAATTTTACGAAAGGTTATGGACTTTTTTAAAATTAGCTTGAATTCCAGGGTTAGGGTTAAAGAACATGTCAGTGTTATTAATGAAAATTTATTTATTTTTAGTCTGGATTTTACAAAAATGGAATCTTTAGCTCACATCAAACGAGACAATCAGACTTATCACTGCTTCATAGACGTGTGCGAAAAGATCTTCACAGACACTCCAAAAAGCACCGTTAGAAACTGGCTAAAGTCCCTAAACATCTCGACAACACCCTGTGCCACTTTGGAAGAGAGAATTCACTTTCGTCGACGGAATGCTTCTTTGGGTGCCACGTTTAGCCTTATTCGAGATGAAGACGTGACCCGTTTGATTGCATATCGCAGTGAAGGTGCGAGGAAGCGAGCCAGACATTCTCACAGTAGTTCTGCCACAATCCTCGACGCTGGTGATGTCCCCAGTCCGAGCCTCGCGACCACAGACAATCCAATTGTCAGACATTCTCACAGTAGTTCTGCCACAATCCTCGACGCTGCTGATGTCAAAAGTCCGAGCCTCGCGACCACAGACAATCCAATTGTGTCTTACAATCTCAGCGGCGAGTCAGACAGCGATGCACAAGAACCGCCTGTAGAAAAGAAATTTAAAGATGAAACGACGTCGCCTAAAAGAAATACGTATAGCATCCCATTAGACAGCGCGCCTGAAAGATTGAGAATGAGGTAAAAGACTTGCGCCATTTCTACCTAAAAGCATTGAACTATAATCGTCCTGGGCCGGCGTTTTCAAAAACGACCGTCGACAAAATGGTTGAAAGAGCCATGAGCTTTATGTACTTCTGCTTGAACGTGAAAAACATTGCCATGTTAACCTTAGATCTATTTAACAATATCGAACTCTATACTAGTTACGTAGAATATTTAAAAGGGACCCGAAATCTTAAACCCTCAACTATAGTTGCGCATCTTATAATCGGTATAAACGTTTGAAATTTAATTTGGCAAACTTTCAACCGAATTCGCCCGACTCGGAGAATGCATCGCGAACCATTTCAGCTTTACAATCATTTCAGCGACACTTTCAGCACGAAAGCAGCATGATATCCAAACTTCATAAGGAGGGTTTTACGAGCAAGGCAACTCAGCAGTTTTATTTCGCGCACGTTTTAGAAACTCTTCGTAACATACGCGATAAGTATTTGGAAACGCATGGCTTGGAAAAAAGTAGGCACTTGCATGATTTTGTACTCTTGGCAACTTACTTAAGAGCCATTCCTGGCAGGTCGAAAGAATTACGGACCATGAAATTGCATATCGAAGCGGACTGCGGAACTTTCGATTTCACTTCGGTGGATGGCGGTAATTTTATCGTATTTCAAGAGGGCAATAGCGTTGTAATCGTGCAATTTGATTTCAAAACATCAAAAAGTATTGGGCCGACCAGAATCGATGTTTCCGATGACGAAGATCTGGTGTATTACTTGCAATTATATACTAAGGCAAGGCCATCTTTACTGCTCGGCAAGTCGCATGATTTCTTCTTTCTCAACAAGCGAGGCGCGCCTTTTGATAGCAGCAGTTCAATTGCGAGGTACATTGGCGATATTTTCATGCGCGAGGTTTCCATTCGAGCGAGCACTAATGCGTTAAGGCATGCTATCATCACATATTTCAGCACTTTGGACGACTCCAAAGATATAAATGTTAGAAAAAGTCTTGCGCTTTTAATGAAGCATTCGGTCCGATATCAGGAAAGCACGTATAACGATTTAACACACCACGAGAAAACGCAAAAAGGCCGAGAAGTTATCAGGGAAAAAATTGCGTCAAATATCTTCGGTGAAGCGGATTTTATTGCATTGCCTGACGAAAGCGATTGCCAAAATGATTCCGGGGACGAATTGTTACCAGCTGTCGGTGACATTGTAGCACTGCTTGATCCCGGTAAATACGTAGGCTTAGCAACGAGGTCGCTGATTGGTTCTTATCTGCATTCTTTCATCGCAACTCACCGCATGTATTAGCCCCGCATGTATTAGCCAATAGCCTTCTGTTTTTCAGAAGCTTATTAATTTCCGTTTCTTCGCCACTGTATGCCATGTGACATTTGCAGCGAATTGCAAATTTATACAGTAAAATATCTTGGGGATTTTGCGTCGTTATTCTGTTTACTTCGATTGGATTTTTGCGTTCTTGTCTTGAGAATTCTCTGCGTTGTTCAATTAAATTTTGTCATTCGAGGAAAGGCATAGATCTGAACAAAGGTAAGAAGCGTGTATAGTTTGTTTTGCGATAAAATATACTTCAGGCAATGGTGTTATTAAATTGTTGTTATGAACAGTATCAATTCAGATGGTTTCAATATTTACGTACAGGTTTGACAAAGCTCGGAGTATTTGTGGTCTTAGCCAAGCATGGCATCTGGTTCAACGGTAAAGCGAGTCTTTTATATATAAATTCGTTTGATAAATATGCCATCTTTAAGGATTGGGTGTGAATAACGCTATTGTATATAGTATAAATGTTTTAATGATGAAGTCATTTGTAAAATGCAAATTTTTATGATGTGATCAGATGTATCATTTATGGTATAATGTTGATTATATTATTATTAGTTTATATAATCACAGAATCACTAATAGCAAGACCTAGGCACCTTTGGCCAAGGTTTCGTGTTCAGGCATTCAGCCAATTGGGTTGCAGGCCTTATTTTCGTAACGATTGACCTTTGAATCTATTGGTTAACGAACAAACAACAGCGGATTGCCTGAACACGAAACCTTGGCCAAAGCAAGCATACCTTATGTGCGGGCCCCCTAGGGCGACGCTGAATAGGTATGCGCAGGAGACTAGAGGTTAATGGGTTAACCAAAAATATGACAATATCTCTAGTTAACCCATTAGGCCGCGATTGGTTACGGATTTTATCTTAGTAACTAATTATGCATACAATTATGCATACCATAAATTTAAAGAATGTCCCTTGTATGCCGGTGGCCATAAAATTACAAATTACTAGCATGACATTATGGCTGATTAGTGATTAAATGCGTCAAGCAATGGGTACATTTAATCACTAATCGACCTGAATGTTTACAGGAACACATGCCACAATTATTACAGTACTTACAGGAACATGCCACAATTCACTGCAGGAGACTTAGAGGAACTTGTCAGAACTTGTACTGTACAATTAGAGTTGGGAATGATTAAAATATATTTATATTTTCATAAACTTTTAGGATGAATCAGTTGTCTTACCTAAATGGACAAATCGTGGCACTGCCAGTTGTCCCAAATGTGGCCATAAGTACATGACAGCACGGAAACCAAAATTATGTGAGGGATGCCACTTTGAAATAGGAGGTTCATATGTGCCTAAGCCAAAACTGAACATTCCAGACTGTGTCATTGTTTACAAAGAAGGTGATACTTCTTAGGCAGTTGCGATATAGAAAAAAATCGATATATCGATATCGGAATAAAAATATCGATAATATCGACTATATCGAATTATGCAAATGAGAAAACGTAATTTAGTCAACTTGCATGTATACGCATCACAAACAGTTAAAAAGAAGTGCATGAAACCAGTCATGGTACGTCTCGAAGATTTATTTATTATTTTATTAACAACGGTTTATGCGTTTATGAAAGATATTATTTACAAGCCTAATGGTTTCACACTACAATTAAATATATATATGTTTATAAATTTTCTGCGAGAAACACTAACATGTTTGCCTGGCTTGGCTTGAGGTTTACTCGCTTCGCCGTAACTATTTGTCCCGCTTTACTAAAAAGTCTTTCAGTTGGAGCACTGCTCGCGGGAATCGCCAGATATCGTCGGACATACTGCGACAGGAGAGGAAAATCATTCTCGTGGAATTTCCACCACTGGAGTGGGTCGTCATCTCCATCGATCGTCGGAAATTGCAAATATCGGGCAATTTCGTTTGCCACGCGATCTCGTGGTGACTGGGCTGGCGACGGAGATTGTTTGATCTTCTTCATACTTGTGAGAGAGCCAAGGGTCTTCTTAGCTTTCTTATACTTGGCGGTGGCTGGTTACTGTGTTCCTCTACGGTCTCTTTAGGCATCTTGAGAAAAACTGCGTCTTTTAGAAGGGTCTCTTTGACTGCATCTAACTCGCACACAGTTTCAATGTCACAACCTTCGGCTTCAGGTTCTTCGTTGTCCGGGAAGAAATCACTCTGACAATAACAATATAGATTATAGCGCTATTAAAATTTTCTGTTTTTACCCCGCTAATTCAATTATCTACAAAGTTAAGTGACAAACTGTCAAAGCTTAAAATAACCTTGCAATTTATACTTTTAATTAGTATCCTTTGAAAGTTGAAACAATTACCTTGTATCTGGGATCAAGAAAGCAAGTGACATTCATTAGCTGTTGCTTTTCGTCACTCGCATATTTGTCTTCAAGGTATTTCATGATGTTCTTCTTTATACTGGCAGTAAGTGGAAGATCTTTTTCTCCAACTGCAAGCTCTTCGTGTTTCAGTCGATACAGGACGGGCTTCAGGGCAGAAATGGTTACGTACTTGCTTGCGCACATTATATCAGTAAATTGAGCAAGTGGAGAAAGAGCAGCATCGACTGCTTCTAAAACTTCTATATCTTGCCATTTTGGAACCAGATGTGCCGTATCCTTGTCCTCGTTCAACACCCTACGCAGTGCTTTTTTACTTTTCAAAAACTTGCTGATCATTCGGTGAGTTGAGCCCCAACGCGTTGCACACTCCTAGAATTAAAATAGAAAAACAAAAACATGTATGTTTAAATCATTTAGTTTTATTATAAAAATGTCGAATAGTGCATGTGTACACAAACCGATGCAAGCTTGACAGGCTTAACTCCTGGTTCTTCTTGAATTTGGGCCTCTGCAAAAGCCTTCTGCCTTTTCCAGCTCATATTAAAGGCGGCCACCGTCTTCCTGCAAACACCGAGTGCACGTGATGTATTCTTCTCGTTTGCGAGGGAATTAGTTATTGCCAAATGCAAGTTGTGGCCGAAACAAGTTATATTGCGCCAGTTCTTTTCCCGGCATGCCTTCAAAACGTTGGCTGCGTTGTCGGTTGTAATGGCTGATAACTTTTTCGGATCCAGTTCCCAGTGTTTCATGACGTCTTCCATACATTCACCCAGCTCGGTTGCTGTGTGATCTTGAGGCACGAATTTTGTTCCAAGACAGCGACTAACAAGTTTCCACTGGTCGTCAATCCAATGAGCAGTAAATCCCATATAAGGTATCATCCCACGCGAAGACCACATATCCGTCGTGGCTGCGTAAAATTCAATGTTTCTCAGGGAATTAAGCACATTTTCTCGCGTAGCGTCGTAGAGTTTAGCTATACGTTGCCTCGAAAAAGTTGACTTCGATGGAATTTGGTAACGCGGCTCTAAAACGTTGAGCAGCTGATGGAATCCGGGACGAGTAACTGCGTTGAGTGGGACACTATCTTTGGCTAGGTAATAAGCTATCGCGTCAGTGATCTCTTCTGTCCGTTTTTGGCCTGGCTGAAGAGGCGCTCTTTTTTCCATTGCTTCGATGATGCTAGGTTGAGAAGAGGATGTCTGGTATTTCTGTGCAGCAGTTGAAGGAAAGGATTCGGTCGCTGGCGCGGTTCGTTTCCTCGCTACATTCAGAGTCGTATACACCATGAGATGGTTTGTTTTTAAATGCGACATTAGATTTGTTGTGTTTCCGGCTTTCGTTTTCACCTTCTTCTTACATAGCTGACATGTTGGGACATCATCTTCATTACTTTTCTTAAAGTAATTCCAAACAGGACTTCTTTGAATAGACATTATTACTTCTCTTTGCAACAGAATAACGAGTAAGTTTGAAACTTTGAATGAGCCGTGTTATTTTGATACCTTGTTTTTAAACCCGCGTCGATACGCGTCATTAACATTGTTATTCAAATTATCGCGAATTCCATCTCTATGAGTCATCACAAAACTATTGTTTTCAAGCGTTCAATGCCGCTGCTTGATGATCTTCAGTGATCACAGTTTCTTTCAAAACAATAATGGCCGAATAATCGGAGATTAAGTTGTTTGGTTACAACTTTCGATATTTTCGATATACGAAAATTCGAATATCGAATATCGATATTTTTGATATATCGATATTTATCGAAAATATCGATATATCGCAACTGCCTAATACTTCTCTGTATTCAGTAAACAGCAGCACGAGGGATGATCGGTGCTTGGTTTTGATGCAAGGAACAAATTGCCTTTGTTACCATGAGACATGTAAACAACAACGAGCAATCCACCTAAGTTCTTCAGGAAGGCCGTTCAGCTGTAAACATAGTGAAAAGATTGACAGTAAACCACAAGAACCTTTCGAAAAGTATTTTTTAAGTGATGAATCCATCAGAACCTATCCAGCTGACAATGGCACTCAAGAAACTATATTCTCCCTAATGAAAAAATTGTCAGCATCACAAGCTGTTGCCATGAAAGTGTCTGACAAAAATTTTGTTGTCTATGGAAAAGCATCAACATCAACTCCAATATGCTATACACATGTTCAATTCAACAAGGTACAGTAGGATTTGATTTCACATCTGATCTTTATATCAGATAAAGATCGGCTGCTTATGTTTTATCTAGTACGTAGTATATATACACATTTGGAGTTGCAGATACCTGTAGCTGTTACGGTTATTGGTTGGTCATACTGTACATTTTCGAGTAATGCTGCTGACCACCCTAGTCTAATAACCTACATAAACTCACCTACTGTACTTAATGCAAAGGGTACCATTTATAAATCAAATTAAATATACATGTGAATTTGTGGCTACTGTAATCTGCTATTGTCCACCTGTAATTTTTTGTCAGGGCAACTACATCTGCTCCTCCAAAGACTGCAAAAGTCATGGTGGCAACACAAAACAGTTGAAATCGAAGAGGATCTGCCTACATGTACATGTTTTGTTGTGTGTGTTGAGGGAACATGTTAGACCAACAGCAGTCCCAACTCCAACCTCCCCAGAAGAAATTGCTGAACCTCGAACCAGCTCAGTTTGTCGGCAAAGAACTGTGGATTTGATGGCTCGTTGTTCTCTACCATACCCAGTGCCGAACAAATTTATCATCAAGTGCAGAAACATTGATGCCTGGAGTACTGCAGGGATAGAAGATAAATCATGGCCATCTTCATTTATACCTCCACAAGAATCATGTGAAATGTGTGGGACTCAACTGAGCTTACCTAAAATGAAGCCAGGCTCAGATGGTAAAGCTTTTCTCATGACACATCAACATATGTTTCATGTGGTGGAGGTGTTGGTGAAATTCTGCAAGAATCCAGAATGCCAAGCAATGCATAGAGTGTGGCCTTTGAGTGATGGTGAGTATCAGTAAATTCACACCTTATTTTAGTAAGACCCAGGATTGGCTCCCTGTGCCCTAATGCCAGCATAAATCATGCCAAACTCTCTTTTAAAACCAAACAGTTCAATTTTTTGAAATAATTTTTTTTACAAAGCATTTCTTTAGTAAAACCACACCCAAAACGCCTCAAGAATATATAATTTTTCGACCATGATAATATAATGTAGTAATATTAGGCCATCGTTATGATGAAATGTTGGTAGAAATTCTCTTGAAGTTCTTTTATAAAATTAAACAGCCACCACATTTGTTTTGGATATACAGTTGAATTCGTGAACTCCTCTAAATGTGTGACAAATAAGACCTTTTTGTCGATGATTTTAGTGAAAAATTCAACTGGAACCTGTTGTAGTTCACAAGAAATGTCTCAGATATTCCGTTCATGTCTTTTTTTATTGTCATTTTGTGGCATTCCGAGCGGGACCCTACTATCAGTATCCCCTGACCAGATAAAGCAGCCCAAATTGCCTTATTTAAAAGATCTTTCAAAATGCATGATATATGAAGTCCCTTTACAGCTTTTCCATATCTTGCTTAGTTTTCGAAATATTTCAACGTAAAATAGCAATAGCGTGCAGTCCGCCATCTTGACGCAATTAACCAAATTAAAATGACATCACAACTGGGATAAATCTGTTAAAACTTCTCAAAATGTGACTGAATTTAATTGAAAGGTTTCATAAAATGTTCCAAGTTTATTGCATGATGTATTTCATACATTCCAGGTCTTTTTAATATTAATGACAAGGTCTTGCTTGCATTGGAGATTTTGGTGGAATGGAGAGAGCTGTTCAAGAGAGGAGTGCCAGTCAAAGTATTTGTTGAAAGTACAATCAGATCATGGTGCGCGACGACATGTTCTAATGTAAGAAAACCACAAACACTACATGTGTTTTAAAACATGAGTGTATGTGTTTTGTGTGTGTATGCATATGTGTCTTATAATACTGTATGTCACTTTACGTATGCTCACTACAAATAACAGACTGAAGCCTCTTTACACCAAATACATTTTAGAATCAGACATTATTTCTCTTTGAGGATGTCATTCCGTCAAGCGGTCAACAAAGGTACTTGGTGGAGCTACTGTACAATGGGTTTTACTGTTTCGAGGCTATCACAGAAAGATCATTAGATGACGTTATCTGTGGTGTCTGTGGAGTTGCAGGAGAGGTATATTGCGGCGATGGAAATGAAAAGAACTGCTGTGATCTGAGTTGTGTAAGTGTATAAATTTAAAACTATGTTGGCCCAACTAATTAACCTGTCAGATACCCATAAATTTATTATGTAAAGACTTTTTCTTAGGTTAACTTCAATAATTCCTCCTCAAATAATGAGTGTGAGCCTGTTTCTTTGGAAGACTTCCTGATGAGAATAAAAAAATACTGGGTGGAGAAAACCACATACACAAAAACAGAATTAGATGATGGTAAGGTCGATGCCGCAACAGTACCTCCTATCATTGCTCCATCCGCTAGAGCAGAGAAAGTGTATAACACGGAGATGCAGAAGAGGAGTGTGTTTTGAAGCCAAGAAAAGAAATAAACGGTGAGTACACGGTTTTATCTCAGAACATTTGTGATGGAAAGCCAACACACTCAATTAGTTATGTATTTTAGGTGACCCTGGAGTTTTACATGCACTGATGAAGTCGAAGAATCTTGACATGAACGATATCGATTCATGGAATGCTGATTCTCTCCGTGCCGTATGTCAGGCTTCTGGCATAAATGTTGCTGGCATGTCAAACGTAAGCAGAAAAATTTAAAATTTGGTAAAATGACTTTTATTAGCAGAACTTTGGTTAAAAATTCGCTGAGTAATGTCTAATGACAGATCTCGTTGATGTGTGCCTGGGGTATCTTGAAACCTAAAGAACTACTGTAGCATACCTAGGCCTATAACCGTTATAGGCGTAGGCCTATAACGGTTTTTAAGAAACAGAAGGGTTTTATTCGTTTTATGCACCGACCTGATAATTAAATCCGGTGTAGTTATATAATTTATATAAGTCTAGTTATATAATTTATTTATCTTTTAATCAAGGGTCTAATGGTTGCTGAGCTTCGATCGTTGTATGCAACATTGTTGGTTGGCATCTCTCCATGTCACGAATTCACAAAAGTTATCGGACATACTGGGGGATTCTATCATTTTGTTTGCCGCCATGGGGTATGAACGTTTTCTTTTCAGCTAAGTTCACACGATTACTAATGACATGTATTGATAATATTTCATTAATATTTGTTTGCACAGGCACACGTACTGCACATATATTGTATAAACTTGACGATTTTATTACATTTAAGACAACTGTTGGATCAAAGTTCTTGATGCTTCAAGAGTCTGTTCGGGATGCAGCAGACATATATCTTTCCCTGAAATACCCACCGTCGCTTTTCGTGAATGATACACCATGCACGTTTTCAAGGCATCTTGATATTCGAGCGCCGAATGTCACAAAATATCTTTGGGGAGATAACGTTGGATGTTTCGAACCACCAAGCTTAGACAAATGTCCATCCCAGGTATTGTCTTTTTTATTGGAACATTTCACCCCATTACATGTTTCTGAAAAATGACGGAGGCATTTTTCGAGGGATATGGGTAGTGATTCACTCTTGTCACTCACAGTGTTTAAATATCTAGGTTTTAACCATAATTGCGTCGAGAAATGTACAGTATGCATGACAAAATGCGGGAAAAGAAACCACCTGTTTTCAGAATATTGTGTGATGCAGATAGTCATAGAATAGTTTTAGTTTGTCTGCAATGTTTCGTGAAATCGCAGACATCATATCGAGAATTTTCCGTTATTTCACAAAAGAAATATCGGATGACCCTTGAATTTATCCTGTATTTTAACTGAAAATTACTTTGTTTTTAAGGTTAGCGTACCTCACCTTGTACCGCTGGAATTTCAATCTAGTAGAATGGGATATAAGGACGAGAAAGAGCTTCAAGAGTGGGAACACCCTGTGACTGGTCATACACATCGCTATGTTGTAGGGGATAGATTTCACTCCTCAACAAATCCCCACAAATCGCCTCTATGCAGATTTCATGACTTGAATTTATGTGAACAGAAGAATGCCATTAAAACGAGTTATCAGGAGAGCGAAAACAATAGAAAAAATTTTTTACGCCTTAGAAGCTCCACGATGCAAAAATTTTTGGTTCATTTTCATTACAATTACCTAATGGACTACTACCACAACGAGAAGATTGTGGAAGATCTAACCACCAAGATGCTCGGTCGTGTAAGAGAAGATGAAAAATTAGTCAGAGGCCCATACCATAAACTTGTTGTTGAAGAAAAATAAGGTGCGCCGCATATTATGTAATGTATAGCGTTTTAACGTTTCTGCCAAAGGTTATATGTCAGAGAGGAGCACACAATATGAACAAGTGGCAGTTTCATACATCTTAAAACTGCCAATTCTCTATTTCCGCTGTTTGGATCTCTTTCCCTTTATTTGTTCAGTACATTTTTCGCTGCAGAACCACTTCTGTCTTTTTGGCGGAATCTTCTCTAAATTCGTACATTTCCTGAAATATAAATAAAGATTATTATAAGTAATAGCATGGCATTACGGAAGGTCGATAAGTGATTAAATGTAACACAAAAGCCGAGAGAGCCTGAAATATAAATAAAGATTATTATAAGCTAATTACTATGGTACCTGTCAACACAGAATAAACATATAGGGAGTTAGAAATATACTTACAAATGATACCACTGACCGCAATTGTCACATTGTACCCAGTTTTCTCCAACGATTTCTTCGTCGTCTCCACAGGGACAGTCCTCTCGCCGCTGGATTTTTTTGTTTTCTGCGGATGAGAAAGATGTTATTTGCGTGTTATATTCACAGATTTTTCAATTATACTTAAAACTGCTAACGTATAAAATCCTAGCATGTATTATACCTTCAGTGCTATCGTTCATAACCCCAAATGCTCCTTGCGCGAATAGCAGTTTCCTCTTTGGGTTTACCTCACTATTACTCGGGATGGGTGTTTGATTAATACCTGTTTGATAAAAGGTGGAAATTGTCCTTACAAAAATTGTGCATGTGACGTTTAGGGAATCGAACTTTAACAACTCAGATTTTCTAAATCTGATACAATATTGGGTGCGGATCTCTCTAGACGATCTTTATGACGATCGTCTGAAAAATTTGCAACGATGGCTGTTAGAGTCGTGCCAATAGAAGCGTTCCGAAAAATGTTGAGCAGTTCATTTCCTAACTTTGACCAGTTCATTTCCTGACTTCCTCAACAATTTGGTCGAAGCTGAATGCTCTTAATTGCAGTCAGTACATGTGTGCAAGTTGCGATCACAATATTTATCAGTGTAACGACGTACCTGAACCTGATGCAGTATCTATCGCAGTATCTATCGTACGATCATGTGCTGTTGGCTCTTCACTTAATAACCGGCTTGCTCGTTCTACTGCTTTAACAGCCTATATTGCAAGAAAGTAATGATCTGGATTACCGAATGTTTATGAGGTACATGAATGTGCCAGATACAAATACATTACAACAGGCTACGAAACTGCAGCATGCAAAATCGAAATGAACTCTGAAGCGAAAAATATAGTTAAACCATTCGATGTTAAACTGGAAAACAAAATTTTGAAAATGTGGTTTATAACCGGAATAAATTCTTTCATTTGTCCACTTTAATTCATCCACCATGCACAGTTGCAAACAACACTAAATGTTTATTTAACTCTTGAATGACGGAATAGTTTTGGCCAAATTATACTCTGTCTATAAAGTCAGGCGATTTAGCTCGTCGTGCAGAGAGAGTACCTATCATTGACAAGAAAGGCAAAGAATTAAAACGATAAACTTTGTAAGTTTTCCATACCATGTCAAAAGCCTTTAACCGTTTCGGGGTGAATCTGTTGTACAATTTCTTTGATTCAGGTGACAAAAACTACAAAGTGAAACAAAAGATAGGTACGTACTTAAGAAATTATACTGATCGACTGGACACAGGACATATAGTATAATAGGTGTATATGTCATTTGCGCGGATCAGTCATTAGCATTCGACAACTTTCAGCTATTCAACATTTGTGTTACTCTGTAAGGTCACTTGATAGGTTCGTATTTTAATTTTTGCCTGAATGATTAGATTTTTGCAAAGTCCTTTTCAACGTCACTTTTATGGGGGAAAGCTTTGAGGCGGACTTGTGGCAAGACGGCAAGTCTACTGAATGACAAGAATAATCGTGCAAGTTCAGTGTTAGATTCCGGTATGCAATGTAGATGAAATACTGTTAAACAACTACAGTTTAGTGGACCAACGTTTGAAATAAATACCTAACTTATATTATTTGCAGATACTTACTTGTGAATAGTCTTGCGCATTTGACGGCGATGAAGGTACGTCGTCATTTGTATTGTGATATCCTTGCCTGATCCTATCACAATAATCTGCAAATGAGATCATCCATGAATAACTTTGTATTAAACTTTACACATAGGACTCTATACAATTGTTAATTAAATAAAAGGAAACATAATATTTTTAAAAAAATATGTTACTCCTTCAATACTATATCTACATGATTCTATATAGCATGTACGATAGCGATTTATAGATACGAGTCGAGAGAGAGACGTACCTGACACTTTTTCCACGATCTCTTGTTCTATGGAACGGACCGTGTCTGCCTCATCTTTCTCCAAATTTCTTTCCATGTCATCTCCGTGTTCTTCTTTGTTTGTCAGCGCTTCGATAAAGTCCACGTCTGGCTGCAGCTGACCGTTATTACCAGTAACTAGCATGCAAGTAAATAACAACGTTGTTGAAATGGCGATCTCAATAATATATTTTAAATCCCCAATTATGTACCTTTATCTTTTAGCCGAAAAACTACAATTATGCGTCATTTTAATTTAGTATCATTTCTGTAGTAGAGTTTACTGTAAATATCAGGATTAATTAGCCTTTCTCACAACGCCATTTTTGGGGTACTTTTTTGCCAATCCTGCGATTGTAGCACCGTGTAACGGCGACATTTTATAATCTTTTGCGTGTATGATTCTACAAAGTCATAGCCATTGGTATTTACTGAATTTTACTCAGTTTATAACGTCAACAACCATACTGAGTAACTCAAAGGGAAAAACTATCGGCGCTTCTTATATGTTATCAAAATGTCTTAAAATGTTCGTGAAAGAGAAAAATTACGCTTGCGTATGACAATAAGGAATCATGGTATATTGGTATGTTAAAACAATACTTACCAAAATTTACCCACTCGATAAAAAGAGGGTCCAATAACTTCTGTGGGATTTTGAACCCTTGTCCAGTTGTTACAAGCGTTGAATTCCTTTTAGAGCGCACGTCAGCGAGGTTTGCGTTGCTGCCTTTTGCGAAACAAATGCTTCTCTGTTCCCAGCCGTTTACTGTGGAACTCTGTATTTCTTGTTTTACTTCCTACAAGTACAGAGCGTTTGCACATGACGTCACAGCCCCCATTTTAGTGTTTCAATTGGAAAAAAAAATTAATTAGACTCTTTTGTCTGGAATACCAACATGGCTGCCATGGCTTTTATTGGGTTGGGCGCCGGAGAATGAGTGCAAACCTCATTTCAATGGTGCAAACACTCTTACATGAATCTATGCATAGTAAATCCGCCATTCTGAATTTATTACATGTAAAGTGCTGAGCAGAATATCCATTACAAATCCACATTTTGTGGCGCCAACTTTTTGACCGACTTGATATGGGAGCCTACATTCTATGCATGGTTATAATACTGTATTACCTCGTTTAAGCAGCCTTGAATAAATAATTTTAAGAGCAGCAAACGAGTAAATACATTATTAACAAGCGCACTTCTCAATTTAAAAGACTGAGCTTCTTACCGTCCAAGAAACGTTTTGCATTTCTCCTATCATGACCGTCTTGATGCAAATGGCTTTCTCCCACGATCCGTTTTCTGTAATTTGGACCTTTGGGAGTGGATTTATCCATGTCAAACAAGAAACCTGAATAAGGGAACGGAACTTTAATAATTAAGTACAATTATTATAATGCATTAATGGCAACTCCCGAGCGAATAATGCGTCGTATATACGCGTTCACAACTTACATCTTTCGATTTTGACTGCAGAATAAGTGAATAAATATCCACCATTAATCTTTGTATAGTAGACTTTTCCGCAGAACGACTCATGTTTCCCTGTATGACCATGGTGATGGCATTTGTTAGGTCGGGATGTTTCTGAGCAGATGCATGTATCTGTGTGGAGAAAAAGTTCAATTAATTTATGAATTCTAAACTATTCCCCTTGCACAGGTATTGAAACTGTTTTTAAAATAAACATATGAAGTAATGACCATATAGTCAAAGGATAACTGTCGGTGTTTTAATGCTGCTACCGTCCAATTCGGCCATTGACGAGAAAAATCGTCTGGGGCCAACTCATGAGTGAAAGCCTATAAAGTTTTCGTTTATGTGAAATCGTGTTTAACCAAAATCCAAAATTCTTTTTGATGCATGTGTTAATTGAAGGAGGATGTTCTGTTTCTCTTATCATGGCCCGTGTTGAAACAGCGTTAGACGTGACGTAATGAGCGAAAAGGTCTATTTTAGTTGCTTTTTTTCATCGCATTTCCGACAATTTTTAATAAGAAATGACTGTTATTACTCACCATTGTGTACGTAATGAGGTTATATGCAACACCTTTAATCCATCGCATTTGACATCCTGTATTGAAATGCGCCTTCAGAATGCATTTCACATCTTCAAAATACGATTCTATTATCTCTTCATAGATAGGAAGAAATCGCATGCACCATGCAACCAGAATACCCTTTAAAAAGTTAAGGAACCATTAATAATTCATAAAGAAAGACAAGGGAAATCATTACCATATCGGTGGTTTTATACCTGATAAAGAATCATGTAAACTTTAGCAGTGATTTCCTTAACTTAGACAACGTTTATTTTTAAAATTAGTTCCCAGTCCGTGCTTTATCAGATATAAAACTCTCAGCTGTCGCATCGAGTTTTATATCTGATAAAGCAGCTTTCGAGCAACTGTCTTTGTAATTTTCTGTCTGTCTGTTCGTACGTCTCATTAACTTTGTATCCTTATTTGTCGATACTTGCCTTATTGCCACAGGCGAATTTTGTCAAAGCAGCTTCATTGTGGTCTTCATGATTGGGATTGAGTCGGTAGTCGAACCTGACCACTCTTCCTAATATCCTGTTATAGTATGGGAATTATAGTAGATTTGTTACAGACTTCAGATGTTACATTTATTTTCGCTAACCCCAATTAGTCACTTCCCAAACGAGCAGAGGACTGGGTCTAGTTGATGTTTGGAAGGAGGTTTGGAAGGACATCAATCTCCGAGCCTGAATCCGACATATAGAAAATTGTATGTCCGTTTGAATTACGCATCCTATTCCAACAATCAATCAGATTTCTTCCTGATTATCCCAGAGCCTTCGTTTCCTTCCCAAGGATCTCAGGCTCGGTAAACGAGATTAGGAGGACATCAAGTTATAGTGAGATTGTGAGAGAGCTAAATATATTTAAAGTTGCCTTATTATTATTGTTGCATTATTATTGTTTGCATTTTTTTTGTCCGTCAACACTAAGCGACGAGAACCAGTCCTCTGCTTGATTGGGAGACGGCTAATTCATATAAAATATTTCTTAGTGGCATATTGTATCATCATATTATACCTCGTATAATATGCGTTGTTGTACATTGATTGAATTGTATACATTGGCATTTCATGTATTTATACCTTTGTACTTCTTTTTTATTGCTGGAAAGTAGTAAGCTTCCTTTCGGGTACAAAAGACCAGATTTGGATGAACCCTGCGCCAGACCACCCTGCACCTGGTTCAAAAATTCACCCAGATTCTGGTTGATTATTGAATCGTCAAGTAAGGATACCAAGGACGATTTGCTTAAACTCTCCAATGCCATTTTTCTAATAAATAAGACAAAAACGCAGATTTTTCACAACAACTTAATACTCAGAGTACATGCGCGTATTGGACACTCGGTGACACGATAATTTTCGAAAGAATATCTACATTATGTTAAATTGATAATGGGAAAGTGCAACAGTGAGTAATATAACTGATGTTGACGCCATTCCCTTACTCTCCTTGCTTTTAAATAAATATGATTAACTGATTGTTTGGAAGAAAATGAAACTATAAACTGTAAAAACAAACACCTGACCCGGTCTACAAGAAGGAGTTAAACCCGGACCATTGACAAACGCTATGGTGTTTCATAAAGTTCATATACATGTTATTAGTATACTCACCCAGATGTGCCAGATGTGTTCTGATTCCCACCTGATAATAGTAGTGGGTGACGACTTTGGGCAATTCCCTGAAATTTGGCAATCAGACGTAACGTCAGAGTCTTCCCGCAATTTCTCTCCTCAGAGAATATCAATCCCAAATTACTTTCACCTGTTAAAAATAATTGAAACCAATAAGTTTTGACACCTCTTTGCATTGATTAGGGACCATTAGGGGATTAACGTAGACTGTTTTCAGGTGCCCCTTTATTTACCCGTCGAAGCTTATAATACAGAACGTATAAAAAAAACGTGACTTAATATTTATCAATATATCCGCTTTTTTTTTAAACAAAGCGGATGTGTTTATAAACACCCTGTATATATAAGCATAAGTAATATAACACAAACTTTACCATATTTCTCGTCATCTTTGGACGATCGAAGGATTCTTGTTGCGACAAATGATAGCGACATCTTAAAAGGATGCTCGTTTACATCAAAGTAAGAAGACAAATCTAAAAGCCTGTATAAAATTTAATATGAGAATATTGGCCATCACAGGCTATAAACTAAGTATAATAATACATTTTGAGAAATTATTTATTAATTAACCGTATATATGAAGCTCCCTTGTGGTGTGTGGAAAAATCTACTACGTCATAAAAATGTCTACGTCATCCGACGATCACAAACAACGATTTTTCGTGCACGATTCGGATTCTGGCGTATGTAATTGCGTCAGTTGACTGCATTTTAAACTTCATTTTTAAGAAATGACGATGAACTTCGGCGTCAGCACAAAACATAACTCGGCCAAGGTCTGGGCACTAGTAGGTATGGTACGTAAAGACTAGGGAGCTACCTATGACAGCAATAAAAAAATTTTATGCTGGATTTATATGTCTACTTTAATCGAAAGTTAAAGTTCATGTACAAACAGATACCTTTTTGTCGCTTCGAGCAGTCGATCCATCTTTAAAAGATGCCGATCAATTGTGGTTGCGTAGTGGAACAAAGCATCCCGGCCTGACATGTCTAGGACTTTATATGCACTGTCCCGTAAAATACAATTGTCCTCGATGTGAAGCTAAATAGAAAAGTCAACATAGAAGATGTTCGTTTATGCGATCATCTAAGGTTACAGAACACCTTTGAGTGTTAATTTTGACAAATATATTTCTATTGGTTTCATTAGTGCCGTGCAATCCCGGAAAAAAAACCCGGCTCCGGGTTTGCGTTAGTACGTTTTAACAGTTGTATGATCAGGGCTGCCTAGAACTTTTTGGAAGCCTGGGGCAAAAAAAACCCTCAGGAAGTTTTGGGGGGCCCTTTTGTTCCTTTGGGGGGCCCTTTTGGGGCTCTCTTAAGGATGGGGCCCAGAGCAAAATGCAAACTTCGCCCCATCCCTGGGCGGCCCTGCGTAGGATGACGTTTCAGTGGGCAGGTACGTTTTCGGACGTTTCATTTTCAGGCGGCTTCAATGTTAATAAAAGCAACTATGACTGTGATAGAACGACAGAAAAGTTCGAAACGTGGTACTTCTTAATGGAACATTGAAGCCACGCCTTAGAAACGTCTGAAAACCTGCCTAGAAACGTCATCGTACCACCGTTGAAACTTGAAACTATAAACGCGACAACTATTCGCATTTTGATCGGTCTACCGTCTTACGTCTACCTGCATCCGCAGTACCCTCGATTGGAGCTAAGCGGAAACACGTCATGGAAAACCTGGGGGGGAACATGATCTAATTGGACATGGAACAAAACACGTTTGGCTGTAAACATTTGACGTTTACCTGTAACAGTTACTGTATTTTTCCCGCGAAAATGTAACAAAGTAAGAACATTGCAAATTATTTTGAATTTAT